TTGATGATTCATTACGCTGACTTTTATGAGAATATCCAAGCGTCTAGTGAGACCCTACAATGTCCCCGATGTAGTGCAGCTGTACCGGCGAATCCAGGCGTGTGTTCAAACTGTGGTGAGAACGTTTTTCAATGTCATAAATGCCGCGCCATTAACTACGATGAAAAAGATCCCTTCTTGTGTCACGCGTGCGGTTTTTGCAAGTATGCAAAGTTTGATTTCACACTGCAGGCGAAGCCTTGCTGTGCGGTGGAACCTATAGAAAACGATGAAGATCGAAAAAAGATGGTGTCGAGTATTAACACACTTCTAGAGAAAGCGGATAGAGTGTACAAACAACTGATGGGAAATAAACCTTCATTGGAGTTGTTGGTTGTGAAGGTGACTGAACAAAAGTCTGAGAAGAGAACTGAGGAACCAACGGTGGTACCTGTGACGGCTGCGTCGGTTGTAGCAGGTGCGATACCCACATCATCGCAGGTTAAAGTCAACAAAACTATACAGATGATTGCGCAGCAGTATTGCAACGAATGTAAGACTTCCTTTGAAGAATTGAGTAAGATTATTCAGAAAGTATTGGTCTCTCGAAAGGAACTGGTTGCGTATGATAGAAAACATAGAGATTCTGAGATGTCACCAACTTTGGGTACTTCCCAAGTGTTGGAGTTACCAGCGAATGCATCATGTGCCATCACACGTTGTTACGGCTGTGCAACAGCTGCCACCGAACATTGTTTGACTTTATTGCGAGCTCTGGCGATTAATACCACGCTCAGACAAGTGTTGTGCACCAAGGGTTTAATTCAGGAACTCTTGGCTAACAATTTACGTAAGGGTAGCGTACAGATACAAGAAGAAGTAAGACAATTACTGTGTATTCTCAGTAAAGAGAATTCCGAGGCCACTGAAGAGCTCTGTAATTTAATAACGGAAAGAGTCACTTTGGGTCTAAGTGGTCAGACTGGTAATTTGGGTGTGAGGCATGAAATTGCTCTCTTGGCGTCACTCCAACAGATCCACGATGATTGTTGGGAGACTCGTTTGCGGTCATTAGTCAGCATCTTCTTGAAAGCATGCGAAGACGCTAAGAGTCCCATGGTCATCGAGGCTATCATCTTACCATGTCTGCAGATATGGCATAGCATCTGTAAACCTAAAACAGCCGATTCTTTCAACACTACTCTGGCTAAGAAGTTAAAAGATAAAATCAACAATAAACAGACTACTGTTGTTCGTAGTGAGTATGAAACTATCCCGATTGATGCATACAAATGGGTGAACAAGGACCCACAGGTGTCTTATGCTGCCTGGAGAGCCAAACAACCAACCAAAAAAGAAAACACTCCGTTACCCACCAATAAAGAAGATGTCAGGAAGTTATATCTTAGTGAAAAGTATGGAAACCGATGGAGGCGGAGAGTGTTAAAACTTTCCGATCCGGAAGACATGGACCTTTGCGATGATTCATGGGTGAAGACTGTTCTGTTTAACCCGTCATCTCGCAGCGCCCGACAAATCACCTGCTTTATTCTAGAACACTGCTGCAGTAATTACACCCGAAAGAAACAAGTTATCAATATGTTGATTAAATACTTGCATGAACTAAGTGTAGCTGGTGAGAATGCCGCGGAGTATATAGATTTGTTCTCCAACTTTTTGGTGCAAGACGCATGGACGCAATATTTGGCGATTAATGGCGTCATGTTGACCATCGCGGATCTCATCACGAAAGAAATCGAACAACTGCATCGCCTGGAAGAGACTACATTAACATCAGATCTTACCCAAGGTTACGCTTTGAATCAACTCACGGAGATATTGATTGCGTTCTTTGATGATGCAGCTATTCGGAGACAATATAAAAGTCGTCTGGTTGGCGCTGTATTAAATGGTTATTTATCTCTGAGAAGATTGGTTGTACAGCGAACTAGATTAATCGATGATTCACAAGAGAGGCTGCTGGATATTCTTGAAGATATCACAACAGGTACAGATGAAGAAACGCGGGCTTTTATGTGTGTCTGCATGGAGACTGTGGAGAAATGCGCATTGAGGGATGTTTTAACTCCAGTATTCATATTTGAGAGATTATGTTCTATTATTTACCCCGAGGAGAATGACATTGGGGAATTTTTCTTGACTTTGGAAAAAGATGCACAACAGGAGGACTTTTTACAAGGTAGAATGTTGGGTAATCCGTATTCGTGCAATGAGGCTGGCTTGGGACCACTTATGCGCGATGTGAAGAACAAGATTTGCCAGGATTGTGAATTGGTTGCGCTGCTTGAGGATGACAACGGAATGGAACTGCTTGTAAACAACAAGATTATGAGTTTAGACTTGCCTGTGAAGGATGTGTATAAAAAAGTCTGGCTAGCTGAAGGTGGTGAGGTGGAATCAATGCGGGTGATTTATAGAATGCGTGGGTTACTCGGCGATGCAACTGAAGAGTTTGTTGAGACACTGAATAATAAATCACAAGCTGCGGTTGATAACGAAGAAGTTTATAAAATGGCGAATGTACTGGCTGAGTGCGGTGGGTTGAAGATTATGGTCAAGAGACTTGGAGCTATTCAAAATGTATGGAGGGCGAAGAGTTTACTGCAGGTTTTATTGAAGTTGTTTAGACTGAGTGTAAAAGTAGTCAAGGTGCAGGAGATTCTCACGCAACCGGAAGTGGGCGCCATGAGTGTCTTCCTTCGTACTCTACAGTTGTGTTTGGAGGGTGAACCCGATGCTAGTCAGGCGGCTGTTACCGAACAACTCCTCGACATTATGGAGACTATCCTCGCGCGTGCAACCAGCAAAACCTTGGAGTCTTTCAATGAGTTTGCACAGACTTTCGGAGGACCTGAATATGTCCAGAGTTTGCTCAGCTGCACGAATCATTCGAGTGTGAGGAACAATCAAGCTGTACTCATGCATCTAACACGCGTGCTTGCTGCGTTGGTGTATGGCTGTGAGGATAAGATGGACTTGCTCCTGAATCACTTCAAACCAATTCTGAATTTCAACAAGTATGATGTTGAACATACGACGGATGACCAACAGAAGTTGGAGATGTTTTGTGTGTTGACTGAGGGAATAGAGAAGAATGCGATTGGGAATACTCTGAAAGATTACATCAATGAACTTGGAGTGGTTGAGGATGCCCTGGAGTATATTACCATGCATGCCCCATGTGTGAAACCCACTCTACTAAGGACTGATAGCGATGAGTTGAAGGAATTCATCTCTAAACCCGCACTGAAGTATATTCTACGGTTTCTCACTGGAATGGCGCATTCCCATGAGAATACACAGGTTGCAGTGTCGCAGGAAGATACCATACCGATTATTCATCGTTTGGAACAGGTTTCTAGCGATGAACATGTTGGATCTCTCGCGGAGAATCTTCTGGAAGCTTTAAGGACCAACCCCCAGGTTGCTACAAAGATTGAAGAGGTGAGGGACTTTACCAGGTCAGAGAAGAAACGTCTTGCTATGGCTATGAGAGAGAAACAACTTGGGCAGCTTGGTATGCGTACTAACGACAAGGGTCAAGTAACAGCAAAATCAACAATCTTACAACAGATGGAAGAACTGGGTGAGGAGACTGGGTTGGTTTGTTGTATATGTCGTGAAGGGTACAAGTATCAACCAACGAAGGTCCTGGCAATCTATACGTTTACTAAAAGATGTAATGTTGAAGAATTTGAAGCCAAACCCCGAAAAACGATTGGGTATAATACTGTAACACATTTTAACATTGTCCACGTTGATTGTCACATGAGTGCGGTGAGATTAGCGCGAGCTAGGGACGAATGGGAGTCTGCTGCGTTACAGAATGCGAATACCAAGTGTAATGGTCTGTTACCACTTTGGGGACCGCATGTGCCAGAATCTGCGTTTGCTAGTTGCCTCGCCAGACACAACACCTACCTGCAGGAGAGTACTAATCTGAGGGATATTGGTCATGCCAGTACTGTGCATGATCTCAAACTCTTGTTGATGAGGTTTGCGCATGAGAAGAGTTTCCATGAGGATACGGGTGGTGGTGGCCCGCAGAGCAACATGCACATGGTGCCGTATTTGATTCATATGGCTCTGTATGTCATTAACACGTAAGTTATTTATTTATTTCTATTTTTTATTTAAAATGGTTAAATAATTTTATTTAATTTTATTTTATAGAACTCGTGTGAGTAAGAAGGAAGAAGGCAACCTCAGCACCTATTTGGAACAGTCCACCATCGAAAAATGGATAGAATCATCTTATGACTCGGATGGACCGTTGTATTGGACCACAATGTCCGTGTTGTTGCACTCGACGGCTAAGTGGAATGGTAATCGACTGTCGCATTTGCATAGACTCTTGGTTGCGGCGCACGTACGCAGCGCGCATCCTTCTGGTCCAGTGAAGAACATCGCCGATAAGAACGCTAAGGATTACGGCGTTTACAAACCTTATCTGGTGTTGTTTGGCATTGTTGATGGTATTTATAGGTACTTCTTTAAGTATGTGTCGGGACCGGATGATCAGTGGTCTAGCAACCTGGCGGATTATATCCGGCATAACGATGAAGTGCTCCTCAAAGGCTCGGAACGTCTGTTGGGTTATTATGTGGACGAGCTGCTTCCGTGCGCATCTTTTGCTGAGTTTTGTGATGTTTGTGGTGAGTTTTGTTGTTTTTGGGGTTGTTGTGAATTTGATTTTATTGTTTTTTTTTTCTGATTGCAGGTCTTTTGGAGCTGATCGACGATCCCGATAGTTACATTTGCAATCTTTTAAAAGGTACATAAATTTACGCGTTGTAGTCTCATTGAACATATTAATTAAGAATTAAATATGCTGTACAATAAAAGTATTTAAAATTGATTCTTTGAAGATAGGTCCTAGAGGGCGCTGCTCTTTTATATCTACGAGTTACCAGTATAAAATGTTGGGGGATGGGTGTAGGGTTTATGTTGATGTGTTTGCGCATTTATACAGAGATCAGCAGGTTGTACTTTGGTGCCTTGTATTCCCCCTCGATTTTCCCGTTCTGTGATTGGCTTATGACTGACTTAATTTGTGACGTAGATTGTGATCCACCAATACCGTGCACTTTGAACATGTTATATATTTCAAAATTGTTAAGATCATAGAAGGCGCAGTAGAAAAAAAAGTTTTGTTTCGCAAACATCATTAGCGTTAATCGAAATTGCAACTTATTCAGCTCTTCCTTCCTTCGCAACCATCCGTGAGTACGCGCACGTATAAAATCCTAACGTCTATCTTCGAGTCGAACAGAGTGCAGTGAAAAATTGTCAAATTTTAAAGGTTATCATCAACGCTCAATTGTTCCCCCCAAAACCTGCTTTCTGCGTGCATAGAATTTCGTGTAACCTGTTGTTCCTCTGTTTACTACTAAAAAACCACTCTGCTGATCACACATTTTTATTAAATAAGACGACGCACTTCTTTGTTGGAACTCTCATAACCTCCAGAGCAAAATGAATTCGTAAGTACACGACTTATTGTTTAGCTATGTGCTTATAAATGTTTAATTCCTATATTTGAATTGATAGTGAAGCATACCAAGAGGGCTATGTTACTTGTCCGTATAATCCTTCGCACCGTCTGCTGAAACATCGCTTTATTACTCACTTGGTAAAATGTCGTCGCAATCATCCGGATTCTCCATCTGCGGTGTGTGCATTCAATTCAAGTCATATTGTTCCTGCACCCGAATTGAAAGTAAGAAGTAAACACTCTGCTAGTATTTCAAATAATTTTATGTTTTATTTGTTAGTATCACATGGACAATTGCCCTGACCGTCATCAAATTGATCGCGTTGTTACCGAAGCTGAAGGCAACACTCATAGAATTGAGATTAACTTTGCAGATGATAGTTCTTGGGACAATGGAGAAAACTGGGATCAAGTATGTTATTTATTTATCAATTTTTTACTCCTCTTTGTAACATTTTAAAATATTTCCAGGAGAATACACCATGTTACAACCCTGCGGAATACTGCGAGAATAAAATGATTCTGCGTCGTTTGGATATTGCTTCGAAAGCACAGCGTCGTGATTGGCACCAGGCTGAACGCCGCCGCTTCCAAGAGATCGATTCGTCTCAACCTGCAGCGACCCAACGAGCCGAGAATATTCGGTCAAAGCCTCAAGTTGCACAAGTGCGGCAACCAAAAGAGGAAATGCCTGCGGTGATTACGTCGCAAATGAGAGCGTTGACCACTTCTGCTCAAACAGACGCCACGCTTACAGCACCTCCGTTGTCGGAGATTTTAACATCTGCTCGTGCTCCAGGTGAACCAAAGTAAGAAAAAATATAGGATTTACATTGCAGAAATCTGTAATTTGTTCATGATATTTTCCAGGAACAACGAAGAAAAGTGGGAACATGTACGAGTGCGTGGACGGGGCCGTGGTGTAAGAAAAAACAAAAATTAACCTTGTTTTGAACCAGATTTTTATTTTTTTAATTGAAATTTTAAGTTACCAATTAATTGATATTTGAGGAGACATAACTTGAATTTTTTATGCATTTTATTCATTGAGAAGGAAATTTACACTTGATAAATTTCATAGAGTATATTTTTATGAATATAGTCATTATATTAATCGAAGAAGACGCTACCACGGAATAAATTATACGTGCCTTATTCTATATAATGTTTATTTGCTTCGTTTTTTCGTGTTGAAAGATGAAGAACCGAGCTTGGCGAAGGTATCGCCAACAACTGCCGTTGTCAAAATCGGTAGAGTGCTTGTTCCGTCTTCTGAGACTTCTCCAAATCTAAAAACGTTTAGTAGAATTTTGTTTACATGTATTCTATTTAATGTTCATTACTTGTCTTCCAGAGTGTGTAGTAATTGAAAGCCTTCTTGAAGAGAAGCGTAGCCTGCTTTGCCTTCGACATTCGGATGCATTTGCACCTCGATGACTTCCTCCTCTTCTTCTTTAATGATACCAACGTATCTAAGTATAGAATAATTAATTAGTGTAGTGAATATTTAGCTTTACTTGTTTAATTACTGGTTGTTCTCATCAATGCTTTCATCTTCTTCTTCTTGCTTCGGCTGTAGCAATTTCTGATAACAATCGACGAGCTCCTGACAACGTTTGTGCAGCACTGTGGTGTACTTCAACACTCTGTTTTGGTAATAATCGTGTATTCCTTGATATCCTAAACCAATTTCTGTTAGAACTCCTTCTGCATAATCCTAAAATCACAATTACTTTGCAAATAGGGATTTGTAACTTTGTGTGGTGGTAAATATTCCTTACTGGGAATTCCTTTCCAGGTTCATGTGTTTCCTTGTGCAAGTCATGTGCAACTTTCATTTTGTAGCTGATTTTCCTAAGAAAATCTTCCAGAACTTCTGTCATCAACAGTAAAACGTCATTGTGTGTGGCTAAAATGCAGGTAATTGTTATTCCTGTTGAGATTTATGATTCGTTGTGTTGTCACTTACTTTCATATCCAATATGAGCAAACATGGTAGCTACAGATTGCATTAAAACAGATTTGGCAACTGCATGACTTAGTTCTGGATGATTTACCGGTTTACCCTCAGTAAAATCTGTTTTAACCTTAGGAATAAAATTCAGATTGTTTGGCACATGTTTGTAGTAGATCTCTGGTGGTTCAGGTATTTTTGGTGTGCCTTCTTCTGATTGTAGAATTGTCAGATTGGAATCAATGGTTAGCTCAGCTAGTTGGATCTGTTCAGTCATCTCTGCAGCAAACTTGTGCAGTGTAATGGCATACATCATTATGGGGTCCATTGAATTTAAACTTAAAATATATACGGATTAAACATTTGGTATTTGATTGTACAATATGATAGAGTTTAATTTATTTACGTTATGTGCTCGACGCGATGGTCATCATCTTCATTGTCTGAGTCAAACTCTGACAAACAGAAATTGTTCATGGAGCGTTCGATGTCGGCCGTAACGTCGGGCACGTAATTTGATTTTGGATCTTCGATTTCTCCCCATAATTTATTAGGTGTACTCATTTTTAAGGAGTATAGAATGTTGAGATGTTATTTACAGATTCAGCTGTTCAGAGGTTATGATCATTTTTAAATTTAAACGTTCAAATGAACGGATGAAAGAATGTTGTAGGTTTGTAATAATAATGTGAAAATATTATATTTCAAGTATTGATATTCTTTATTAAATTATTTTTGTATCATCTTTATGCATTGAATGTCTTATTTTTGTTTGTTTTGTGGGTATAGTACATATAATATAGTTGAACGTGACCTAGTATTTGCATTGCGTGTTTTGAAATTCTTATCACTTTTATACCTGCATTTGCAGCGTTCACGTTGCTTCTTTCTCCTGCTTAGTATGGCTTGCGTAGCTGTGCGGTGTGGTGCGCAAGTGTTCTGTTTGCCAGTCGATCTTCATGGCAAGTTTTCGCGTTTCTTGAGATATTAATTCGGTAGTAATTTGTAACGGTTGGCAATGAACGGTATTTTCTAAGAACAGGTGGTTGTGTCCTTCAGCAAATGGATTGCGGAGTGTGGAACCCAGAATTGTGTGGCTTTATTCACATGTGTCCCGACGGCAACCCCTATAATTAGTAGAAATTTGTTTGTTTCCCATGTGTGGAAAGAGGATTGTCAGCAAAGGCAATAAAGTGAGTAGAATCAATTCTATTTACAATTATCATGTAATGTATCAAATTTGTTTGTCCATGAGGTGGCTGCAATAACTGTTATCTCATTCATGTTGCCTTAGTGTATATAATTTCACTATACTATGTAAAGTCATTTTATTATGTTCTCGCGTGAATTCCGTTGATCGCCGGCCGTCGCATGTCGTCCGTTGGCTACGAATAAGTTATCAATTTGCACCTATTGTCAGGAACAGTGAATACATAGAATACAAAATAATTTATTATCATGTAATAGTCTATATGTATATTACCTATTAATGTATGTGTCTCAATAAAATATTATTTAAAGTAATGTTGCATATAAGAGCATATTTATTTTTGTATCCTCTTTGTCGTTTCCAGAAGTAGTTATAAAAGTTATATGTGGCTGCAGGTGTTTGTATGATGGCTATACAATGTTGTTGTTTTTAAAAATGTGAGAAAAACAACAACATTTATACCAGAAACGAATAAGATTTGATAAGTAAGCGTTCTGGCTCAGGTGGCATGTGCATATGCTAGCATGCACGAGGTTCATGGATCGAATCTCAGTTGTAGAAGGTAATTTTATTAAATAATAAGAAATTTACGAAATGAGGGTTGCATACCACAAAAATTCAAGATTCAAATGTTAGAAATAACTTGAAAAGCAGAGTACGACGAAGCAACAGTAAGAATAAGTAGAAGAGATGGTGGAGGAGTAAGGAAAAAGAGGAGTAAGTAGAGAGAGCAGAAAGAAGAGGATAGGAGAAACAAGAAGAGAAGAGAATAGAGAAGAGAGTACAGGAAGAAAAGAGAAATAGGGGTGACAGAATTTTTAAATTTTTTGGCACGTGTCGTTATAAGACAGTCACAGGTCACAGGCCCACTGCTTCGATGCCTCCATTGCTCCCGGCCCAACCTACAGCTACGATGTCTCTGCGCTTCATCCCCGGAATTATCAGGCATATCAACAATTTTTATGGTGGGGATCATCCCC